AGGTTGATGGGGAGCGGGGAGGTTGAATATTTGGAAAAAAAAAAAAGGTGAATAATTACAGATGAAAGCCCATCCCTACGCTAATTATAATTTAGATTTTCATGAAAGGGCCCTTAACATCACGTTTCTTCTGACTTTAGGGGAGCAGTAACACAGTAAGCTTCCTGGTCCAGTCTTTAGCTCCTCCCCCTCTGGTGCCTAGGTCCACCTTGTGTTTGATGTTCTGTTTTGTTTATGCTAAAATGTACATTTTCTCTTGTATTTATTGCAGTGGGTGTAAAGGAAAACCACTTTGTGTGTGTGTGTGTAAATCATTGGTTTCCTGATAATCTTAAAATATTTAGAGTGCGCCGTTTCTGAAAACGCTGTTCGAGTTGTTGCGTTGTTGTTAAAGCCACAGATCATCTGATACACAGCTGCACACGGTACTGAGCCATTTCTAACAGGGCTGTGAGATGCTCATTTACAGTTATGAGTGAAATAAATGTGATCACTGAAGACAAATTTTACCCCTTCAGATAAATGGGACACCTGCTCATTCCTTTCTGAGGTCAACTCTGACCTTCTGTCAGCTACAACACTCAACTAAAAGATGCTGTGATAATACTGGAACCAGCTTGTTTTGAAGCCCTTTGCCTTGACAAACTGTTCATTTCCCAGAACCCTCTGTGATACTGACCTGCTTCCCCAAGCATCACAGAGAACAAAGCTGTTTAAGCTGTCGTCCAGTCGTCTTATTGCAAGACTTAATGGCTTTGGAACAATGTGCAAACCTTGTAACTGCTGCAGCCTTTTCATTTTTGAAGACGTAATATGAAATTGTAAGAGTCAACTTTAAACTGTTAAGATATGTGATAATTTTTATTTTGCCTATAACTGGCTTTAGGGCACTGTGAACGCTTCAGAACAATTCATACAATAAAGATTTTGTCAAATCATTAAGATTTACTGCTTTCGTTGAAGTGGATTGAGTTATTTTAGCAACAGAGGAGAAATCTTTATTTGCAGGTTTTGAACAGTTTATATTTTGTGGTAGTTTCATACAATGAAGGGAAACAGAATATCAACTAAAAATCCAGAAACTAACACAAAATTACCAGTGAAATAAGGATCTAATTTCCTGCAGATTGGTTATGTGCTTATATGGCACATACATTAATACAAAGATCCAGTGATCCAGATCATAGATCTGCACAAGGGTAGAAAGAACTACAAAACCACTAGCAGGAAGCTTGTTGAGAAGATAACTGGGATAAAAATATTCTCGCTTACGTTGTTTACTAAAAAAGAACCACATTCTTCAGCAGGAGAAGATTCTCAACCAGGATTTTACTTGCAAGGTCAGATTTTCAGGAGGGGTTACATAAATATACATACAATGTACATGCATGAAGTCCAGTCACAAGAATCTGCCTCAAGCTGCCCCTTCAACTTGCTTTTATCCTATCAGATCAGTGGAGTTCAGAGCGCAGGAGGTGTCCTTGGAGTCCGCCGCACGCTGCATTCTCACCCAGTTCCTCACCCATCTCTTTCCTAACCCAAACATATGGTTCATGTGAAGAGATAAGATTCTCAGTGATAGTAATAAAAATATCCATAACCTTTGACCAAAAATTATCTTAACAAAAACTGTTGATGCCGTTATTTGGAAATGTGAAAAATATAAACTGACCATCAGTTACCCTCAGTCTGGAGCTCAGTATAAGATCTTACTCGTGGGACGATGGATGATGATGAGAAAGGGGGGGTTCAACCCGTAACTGCTCAGGAGGACCTTGGTAATGATCTGAAGGTAGTTGGGTCTACAGCCACCAAGGACATCATTGGTTATACACTACGGTGTGAAGGACTGAAGGAAGCCTGCTGAAAAAGGCTTATGAACAGATCCATCTTCAGTTTTCGAGTGCACATCTAAATGATTTAGAGAAAATGCTTGAGTCATATGAAACAAATCAGTTTTTTGGCATCAGTGCAACCATCGGTGTTTGGAGAAAGAAAAATGCTGAATATGACCTGAACACCATGCCCACATCTGAGCACAGAAGCGGTCCAAAAGAGGGAAATGTACTGCAAAATCTTGAACAAGGACCTGCCTCACTCTGCCAGAACACTGGTTTGTCATGAAAGGGTCTTCCAGGATGACAGTGACCCAAAACATCAGCACAACAAGAGTAGTTAAAGAAGCACAATAAGGTCATGGCATAGCCTAAGCCAATCTCCAGACATCAGTCCTGTAGATGATCTGTGGAGGGACTTGGAAGTTTCATGTTGACAAGCAGCGTCCAAAAATAATATAGGATTTGGAGAGTTTCTGTAAAAAGAAGCTGGAGGCAAAGTACAAGCAACGTCTCACCAACATGTTTCTCCACCAACTTGTTCTTCTTTCGGCTTTTCCCTCTTCAGGGGTCACCACGGCAAGTCATCCTCCTCCATCTCACTGTCCTCTGGGGCCGGGTTTTAGTTGATATTCTAATGAAACTAACAGATAAATTAGACCGTTATTTCCTTAATCAAACTTACAAAATGGGCAAAGATCAAATAGTGATTTCCTTCACTGCAAATCTGTCCCTAGTCTCTCAATTTAAACATTTTTAAAAATTCAAAATGCACACTTTAACCTTTTTTTCTATGACAATGTTTCTTCTGTCTTTTTTAATTTAAATGTAATGCATTTACATGTTCAGGAAGTAACATATTCAGTTCTTTGTGCATTACTAGATCAGGTATGCTTTAACACTGACTGCTGTCTTCAAGACACAACTGGAAACTTTAGTTTCCTTAGCAGTTGCTTATAGGGATGCACAATATTGGGTTTTTGGCCGATATCCGATATGTTAAAACGTATTCAGCCGATAACTGATGCCGATACCGATATTTTATATACGTTCCTTTGTCAGAACATAGCCCTCTTATTTAGGCTTATTTGCTACACAAATTGTGTACCAGCTGTAAGAGCTGGTGACATATATTCAGTAACAGCCATATGATATGCAGAGCACTTTGACTTATATTAAATGAAAATGTTAAATGTTATTTATTAGCATTAATCACCTGCAATGCTGTCTCACTTTGGAGGCTTATTCCAGGTTCCTATAGCTGCAGTGTGGGATCCTCTGCACTCCTGTGCATGAAGGACAGACTTTTTAAAGTTTTTGTCCATTGTGCCGTAAGACTAATCATGCTAACAGGGCTAACGCGACATCCAAAAGTCTGTGGTAAAACTCACCCAACAAGTCGTGCTATCGGCTTATAGCTTCTCAATGACGTCAGAAAAATGTCTCAGACTGCGGACGGTGTAGTGAGGCTCAACGTAGTCCATAAATTTTCGGAATCCGACATCCTCACCAACGAAAAATAAAACTACCACACCGCTGACATTTTGAATATTCCTCTCCGCCGTGAGATCGGGTAGACACACGTGACATCGTCACGTTGTGCTGCAACATCATCTAGTTGTGCTTCTGCTGCAGGCAAAACAGCGCCTTTTATATCGGCGAGTTATTTTAATGGAATGGCCGATGTCCAGTATTGAAATTTAATGTTGGTATTGGCCGATAATATCGTGCATCCCTAGTTGCTTACTGTGTCCACTAGAGAATAGCAAGTTAACATTAAAGCTGAATTTTAACTAATCAAATAATCAAAATAATTTGTTTTGAACTTTCCACAATTTGTTTTATCAATTATTTCTGGCTCATCCAATCCTTCCGTGTTCCTGCTTGAAGACTATGCAAACTAATATTTCTAACCCAGTAAAATGATAAGAGAATTCAAAATATTTCTTGTGTGTACTATTTTCTTGGTAATTTTCCAACACATTTGTATTAAGTACACTGCTACTTTGAAACCATTTCTTGGGGTTTGTTACTAACACAATGTTTTTAAAATGTTTCATCTTCTGTTTGAGTTCCACTTTAAGCACACCTCATCCACTTCATGAATGACCATTCTTAAACTTTTGCAAAAGTTACATAATGGCAGCATGATAACTGAATGTGGTAGAGAAAACTCTGTAGTGACGTTTTGGTGGCTGGATTTTGTGTTGCAGTGCTACTGGCAGCTGCTTCTACAGTAGAAGTGCCGAAGATAGATGAAGTAAAAGATGAGTTGGCACCCACTGATGAAGATCTCAAAGGAGACAGGACCCCAGAACCAAAAGTGGCAAAACCTATCAAAGATGTGTCTCCACCAATTCTAGAAATTCCAGCACCAGTGCAAGTTACTGAGAAGACTTTTACACCAGTTGAAAATGTTATACAGGACCCTGTTCCAGTAGCTGAGGAAGGTTTGGTACCAGCAGAGGATCCATCTGCTGTTGAAGTCCCTGCACCAAAGCCTGTACATGTAGATGTTAAGGAGTCCATTGCATATGCAAACCCATCTGTTGAAAAGATTCCTGCAGCAGAAGATGTAGCCATTGTAGAGGAGCCTTCTGCATCTGCAGATGTTGTACCCACAGTTGAAGAAACACCTTCACAAGTGCAGATTTTACCAGCTGTTGAGGAGACCTCTGCTACAGAAGAAGTACTAGCTGTTGAGACACCTGGCACACATGAGGTTGTTCCAGTTGTTGAGGAGGCTTTTGCACCATTGGAAGTTGCACCAGCTGTTGAGGAGACCCCTCCTGCTGAAGAGGTTCCAGTTGTTGAAGAAACCCCAGCACAATTGGCAATTGTACCAGTTATTGGGGAGACCTCTGCTAAAGAAGAGGTTATTCCAGTTAAGGAGACCCCTGTGCCAATGGAAATTATACCAGCTGTTGAGATCTGTCCAACAGAAGAGGTTGTTCCAGTTGTTGAGAAGACCCCTGCACCATTGGAAGTTGTATCAGCTGTTGAGACAGCTCCTACTGAAGATTTTGTTCCAGTTGAAGAGACCCCAGCACAATTAGCAGTTGTACCAGTTATTGAGGAGATTTCTGCTATAGAAGAGGTTATTCCAGTTAAGGAGACTCCTGTGCCATTGGAAATTATCCCAGCTGTTGAAGAGATTCATCCAACAGAAGATGTCTCATTTGTTGAGGAAACCCCTGCACCATTGGAAGTCGTACCAACAGTTGAGGAGACCCCAGCTACAGAAGCAGTAGCTTCATCTGTTGAGGAAATTTCTGCACCGGTGGATGTTGCATCCATTACTGAGGAAGTCATGGCACTGGAAGAAGTTGGATCAGTTACTGAGAAGTTTGTGCTACCAACAGAAGAAACCACATCACCACTAGTAGAAGGGGTTTTGGCACCAGAAATACTTGATGTCCCTGCAACTTTACCTGAAGAACCAGTTGTATGTGCAGAAGTTGCAGGAAGCATTTTAGGAGAAGCAGATAAACCCGTTGTGGAGACTCCAGCAGAAGATGTCAACAAGCAGTATATTATTGTTGTTTTGGAGGGAAAACCTAAAGAGGAAAAGAGGCCAAAGGTTCTAGGAGTTAGTCCGCTGACTGGTAGAATCATCCCAGCTACAGAAGATGACAGTACCCCTCCCTCTGAGGTACATAACATTTTTTATTAGATTTCTAAGTGATTAAAGATGTAGAAGACATA